TTTATTTAATCTTTTTTCTTAGAAGATTATTTTCAGCGCTGTTTATGCAAAGCAGGATCTCTTTTAATTATTTATTTTAAATTTCTTAAAATAATTCCCCTTTATTGCCGTTTAAATAATAATAGGTTAACATAATTTTGGTACTTGATATATAATCCATGTGGAAACGATACTCTACTTGTTGCGATTTTCGTACACTTGCGAAAAATCACTGTCAGATTTTTGGCGCTATTGCCGGGGATTGGCGTTATCAATATCAATGCTAATTACCCTATTATTAATTTAGACATTTACTTTTTTTGTTTTATTTAATTTTTTTTAGAAGATTATTTCAGGTGTTTATGCAAAGCAGATCAGGTAGGACTGAACCCTTGATCTTTGATCTAGAAATCGAAAAAACTTGTCATAGGAAAAATGCTGCTAGAAGAGCACGAGAGAACGAATCAGAATAACAAACAAACATGGGCGATGAAGTTAATCCTCAGGACAGACCTCAACCTAATGTCTGCACCTTGCGAGATTGCACAACACCTTCTCTCACTAAAAATACAAATATAAAAAATTGAAATCTTCTGGTTGAAGATGATTTTGGCAGAAGAAATTAATCTTTCACGTAAAAAATGGTATGTTTTTCAATAGGACAAAAACAGAAACTTTTACAATTTCGTCATATTAGAAACTTGCTACACTTGAAACCCATAGAAGAATCTAAAATAATAAATATTAAAATGAAGAATAGGTTCTTGTTATTAAGCTCCATTGATAAAAAAAACTTACATGAACATGAAGATTTAAAATATATATAGTAAATAACAAATGCCTCCTCAAAAACGAGAAACAATTAATTTCATGAAAGGAGAAAAAAGACAATAAATAAAAAACATATTCCTAATAAGGGGATACCACAAACACTAAATGATGATAGATACGAGACACTAAACTCAATATTTGTTTCAAATGATTACAATATGGGAATTATTAAAAAAAAAAAAAAGCTAAATAAAATGAAGAGAAGGAATGAAATCAAAATGATACTAGTACTGGCGATCGAATAAAATGGTCGGATGGCTCGAAAAACAAAATTAAAAGAAAAGAAAGAGAGAGATGGCTAGAGTTTTTTTTTTTTTTTAATAGGTATCTTTATTACTTTACATGATCAAGAGTTATTCTTTCTATCAATTCTAAAATAAATCAAAATAATGAATTCTTTACCTTTCATTTTCTTATTTATCTTTATGAATTTCACCGTTTTTAATATATATTTTTAATTACCTTTGTATCTACGGATTAATTATACCTCTCATAATTAAAAAATCAGTCATATTTTTCATATTTATCTATCTTTATTTATATTTTTTAATTGTATAATATAAAAAATTTCACTCATACTTTTTATTCTCTCCGTTCCGCTTTAATAATAATATTTGCTCTTTTTCACAATGATTAAAAAATGATTGAAATTTATTGATTTTATAGAAATATATAGTAAAATATCTGAATTGTCCTTCTTAATGGATATATAAAAAAACTTACACCTAATACATATGTGATAAATACCAATCTTATCGAGATTTGAGGGCCATATGATATCTCAAAATAATAGAAAGAGTATATGGACTTGATATTAGAAGATAGTGTCAACCTATTATTCGAGTAACCTACCTAGCATTCACATCATCATATCATATAAAGGAGAATCATGGCTGTTTTCCTCAATGCTAACGTGACATGTTCACCAAGGAGAGAGAGTGTATAATATTTGAGTTTTTTTTTTTTATTTTTTAGGTTGACCAGGATTAATTTGGATTAAATTTTAGTTATCTTTTAAGATTGAGAAAGACTTTAAATCCCAAGTATTTAATTAGAGAGAATCATTTGCTTTTTATTGACTTTTTATTCTCATTAAAATGGAGTAATTAAAAACTTATGTTTCCTAATTAAAATGGAGGGAGAATTAATTTCAAAAAAAAAAACTACTCATCTTTTAATTTCGAAAATTCAGCAATTAGTTAATTTTAAACATATCTTTCTATTAAAATGGAGAGCATTTTTATTGCCTTCTATTTTATAAATTTTCAAATTTAATTTTTTGGGTCATCAAGCCATATATGTATATATATATATATGTTATATTTTATTGTCTTTTATCTATCTATCTATATAAATATATAAAAACAGAAACTTGGATGATGATATCACACCAAATTAGAATTTTAAAATGTTGATTTGATTTTTTTTATTTATATTTTTAATCTAGAGTTTTTAATTTAGAATAGTTAATATCTATAATTTCTATTCCTTTGCTTTGTTTCTTCTTCTCCTTCTAAATTAGGTCCTTATAATAGTAGTAATGGCAAGAAGACTATTAATTGATAAACTAAAAAGGCAATAAATTTAAGTTTTAAACCTACAATTAAGCGATTTGTGCAGCTTTTCCACTAATGAATATAAAGATTTGGTTTTTTACAGTCATTTATTGATTAAAATTCAATGAGTAGCTACATTAATAGTGGTATAAAGAAGATTTTTATTTTAATGCAGTTTATTCTTTCACATAATCATCATCTTTCTCTCATGCATAATTTTGGAAATGTCGTTAGCTTTGGAGATGAAATTGGAGGTAAATTATTTTCATTAAGAAAGAACATCATTTCTACAAAATTGATCACAACATTACTGTTTGAAACACATCACTAAGTTGTTTTCGCTTTGCTGGGTTAAGATGTAGGAACATTTGTTAGGAATTCTATTTTGCCTATAAATCATTGCTTTATAAATTTATCCATGATCATCAAAACATGCGGCACCGTTGATTATTATTTGTGCAAATTCTTAAAGACATAATTCTTATGGAACAAGTTTTCACCGAGGGCCAATAACTTTAAATTTTCGTTAGATGCTTGAAATTTTCAGACAAATGGGACTAATTGGCTTTCATTCAATTCGTTCAGGATACAAAAAATAAAAATGTGAAACATGTAATAATCTTATATAACGATCATCTCTATGGGATATGAAGTTTGTGTATGTCAAATTTAATTACGCATGATAAAATGTTAAAGCAAATGATGGAAAAATAGGAGAGATGTTTGGTTACAACAATGAAAAATATTCTTTTACATGTATTTTTACAAGGTTGCTATAGAGCTCATGAAAATTAAAATAAGCGTTCTACAAAAATGTTTCTATTGTAAAAAAATAAAATTTTAGAATTAAAATAATATGTATATTTTACGGTACATAATACTATATAGGTTTTGATCAAATGTTGGTATACAACAATGAAAAAATATTCTTTACATGTATTTTTAAACAAGGTTGCCATATAGAGCTCATGAAAATTAAAATAAGCGTTCTACCAAAAACTGTTTTCTATTGTAAAAAAAAGAATAAATAATTTTTAGAATTTAAAATTGAAATATGTATATTTTACGTACTATAATACTTATATAGGTTCCCTTGAATCAATTTTTATATAGTTTTTTGTATGTAAATTGAGGTTAAAAACATCATTTTATATTTAAAATTGCCTTCTCAAACATAAAATATCCAAAATATAAAAAAAAATCCATAGTATAAAACAAAATTATCATAAATTAAAAACACCAAACTTACTTCCTAAAATTTTTCCAATTATTCAAAGTCAATAAAAAATTCAATAAACAATTTTAAAATTCTATGCAACGCCATTTGAAGCTGAGACTAGTCATTCTCTATATATAGGGCATGAACCTTTTTTCCTTAACATAAGGTTCCAAATGTTCAAATTCAGTCTTATCTGATAGCTCCTTTCGTTCCAATAAATGACATTAGTTCCGCTACGCATATTAAAAATAATATGGTTAAAGTGCAATTCTTTATTGTTCATATACTCTTTTTATTCATGCGCAACTCTTAAATAACTTACTGAGTGCTAAGATAATACATTGTAGTTTCAGACAAATGGGACTAATTGGCTTTCATTCAATTCGTTCAGGATACAAAAAATAAAAATGTGAAACATGTAATAATCTTATATAACGATCATCTCTATGGGATATGAAGTTTGTGTATGTCAAATTTAATTACGCATGATAAAATGTTAAAGCAAATGATGGAAAAATAGGAGAGATGTTTGGTTACAACAATGAAAAATATTCTTTTACATGTATTTTTACAAGGTTGCTATAGAGCTCATGAAAATTAAAATAAGCGTTCTACAAAAATGTTTCTATTGTAAAAAAATAAAATTTTAGAATTAAAATAATATGTATATTTTACGGTACATAATACTATATAGGTTTTGATCAATTTTTATATAGTTTTTTGTATGTAAATGATAAAACACATTTATATTTAAATGCTTCTCAAACATAAATATCCAAATAAAAAAAAAATCATAGTATAAAACAAAATTATCATAAATAAAAACACAACTTACTTCCTAAAATTTTCAATTAAAGTCAATAAAAAAATTAATAAAAAATTTTAAAATTCTTGCAACGCTTGAGCTGATGACTAGTCATGTATATAAGGATGAACCTTTTTTCCTAACAAAGGTTAATGTCAAATTCATTTTATCTGATACTCCTTTCGTTCCAAAAAGATAGTTCGCTACGCATATTAAAAAATATGGTTAAAGTGCAATTTTATTCATATAACTTTTTTATTATGCGCATCTTAAATAATACATGAGTTAAATAATACATGAGTGTTGAAATAATAACTAATAATTAATAAAAATTATTAAAATAAGGTAAAATTTAACAAAAGTGTATTAAATAATTTAAAAATTACTATAATGAAAAAAAAGTAAATTATATTTTAAAATAAATAAAAAAAGATGAATTATCTTTTCGCCATCAAAGAATATAATAAAACATGGTTCATTCTTGAGATATCTTAAAGATTTTGAGACTATCAATATGGACAAAATTTGAAAGAAATAATCAATACATTTTTTAAATATCAAAAGAGTGTTTAAAATGCATCAAACTAAAATGTGTATGTTAAAGTGGAACTAGGGACAGAGCATCTGTTTTTTCCTTTCAATTTTATTTATTTTTCTTACCGGTGCACGGTAATGTTACTGGTATATAAATTTTGAAAGAGTTATGATTGGAGAGAGCTCCCGGTTTTCAGGCTACACCGGAGAATCAAATGCTAACTCTCAATCAAAACTGAAAAATTATGGTTTTCCTTTTTGTGACACAAATATATCGAAACCCTAAACACTAACACACAATAAAAATGCCTCATAAAAAAGAGCAGAAACCGCAACCGATCAATGTGGTACAAATCGATAGTAGCAGCGATGAAGACGATGATGGCGTAGCAGTGGTTATATCAACAACAACTAACAAATCCTCATCATTTTCATTGAAACCAAAACCAAAACCACACCCGCAGCAGAATCAGAGCTCTGAAGAAACCGTAGTAACACCACCTGCCCCGGCCCCGGTGCCGCAGTCTGAAAGTCTCCTTTGCCGCAGTTTCTGGAAAGCTCAAGCTTATGATGTGGTTCTCACAGCTAGAACTTCTCTGCCTACAGGTCTTAGTTTTTTAAGTTGCTTATTTATCATGTTTGTTTTAATCATTTATGGGAAACTTATGCCCTAGTTATTATCTTTTAATCCTTAATTTACAGGTGAGTTAGAACATGCAAGAGTTCATCCAAAGTTTCTTCATTCAAATGCAACTTCACATAAATGGGCTTTTGGAGGTAATTATTTTTTATAGTATCTTTTTTATTAATTTGTTAATCGGTAAAACAGAAGAAATAACGCTGACTTCAATTTTTTTATTTATTTTGTATTATTGTTAGCAGAATTGAAGTTAGTTTTGGCATAGCAAGCACCTGCTTCAAAATGTCACAGTACTCAAATAATAATATAAAATTTTAGTCATAAATTGTATTTACTTTGATTAAATTTCCTTTCTTATTCTTAATTATGTAATTGTGTTTTGACAGCAATTGCTGAACTACTGGATAATGCTGTTGATGAGGTACCGCTCAACTATTCAAGTCAAGTTGCATTTATTTTTTACTCATTAATTAATAATAAACAGTATTTTTATAATATGCCATACAATTATGCGTTTTTGTTTACCCTTTTCCTTGCTGCACATCAGTTATCTAAGTTCTGTATCACAATATGGATAGCTGAAACAGAAATTTAAGGCCTACCTTTCAGTTGATATTGGTATATGTGGAAAGAATGTAGGGCCATTAAACCAAAAGTTTAGAGATTTTGCATATGTTAGCTGATAATCAAATTTTGGAACTGTTAGTAAGGAAAGCGCTTGGGTTAGAGAAGAACTGTTGTGCTGCAATGATCAACATCTTGCAATTGCATAACTGAAGGTTCTGTTTTTCTGTTCTTCCCCTTCTCTTTCTCTTGTAGTTTATATATTGCACTGGCATTTCACAATTGTAGAAAGAAGGCTGATTTCCCTCCCTCTCTTAGACCAGCAGACTTTACTATTTCTTAATCCAAGCTTGAGATGTTTGATATGTGTTCGTTTTCCAATCCTGACTTCTGATTATGTTCACCTTAGTTGCAAGTTGCAATGTCATTCTTGTTGCTTTCTTAGTTGTTTGTTGTTCATTTTCTTTTTAGTCTTAGATTCATCTAGTTCTTTTTGATCTTTGGTTGATGGTAAAGGATAAATAAAATATAGTTGATAAGTTTTGGTGAGTTATTTTCTCCCAGATTTGAGTGTTGTGGGCTTCAGGAGGTAGTTGTTGTGTATGCATCCAGCTGCTTCCTTCAGTGTAGTTTGAGGAAGTGTGATAATTAATTCTTTTTGGGAGCAATCTTTTTTTCCCCCCGAGAGGGCGGTGCATGTGCCATATAATGGCAGTTTATTCTATTTAGATTATAAAAACTTTTAAGCTTCCTATACCGTTCTTTGAATATTTCTACATGGCTAGGTAACTACTCCAATTCTCATGCTAGAGTTGTAATTCAGTGTAAAAATCTGAACCATAAGCTTGAAAGAGCAAATATATCGAGGGAAGGGATGATTTAGTAATCTTTCTAAAAGAAAAGAGGCAACAGTACTACTTATCTTTTAGTTTCATATAACTATTCATATCTCTCCTGCTCCTTTTTTCTTTTTGGAGTGGACTAAGGGTACCAAACAACTTTTTCAACATTTTTTTTTGAGAATGTATACCAGCTATGGATTAGATGAGTAAACTGCATTCATGCGTCTGTTTTTGTTTTCAGATTCAGAATGGTGCAACCTTTGTGATGGTTGATAAAATTGATATCTTGAAGGACAACTCTCCTGCTTTATTGTTTCAAGGCATGCATCCATATGTGTCAACTGCTGCTATTGATCAAAGGATGCATTTCCATTCATGTGCCTTTTTTTTTTTTTTTTTTTTAACCTATTTGGTGATATGAGTTGGAGTAAAAATTTGATATCTATGAAGGACAACTACGTTCCTGCCTTTAATTAGTCCTCAAAGGCATGCAGTGCCTATGTAGTTCACAACTAGCATGCTACTGATCATAATGGATGCATTTACCATTTCTATGGGCCTCTCTTCTTTTTAGTTTTTTTCGTTTCTTTCTAGTTTGTCAATGAATTTTGAAAAAACCACACTCTAACATTTTTCGTCTAAGATGAGTTATTCATACAAGAATGACTTGCTGGCGGATGGTATCCTTACGTATATATTTCTGCTCCGTGAATATAACTGTCATATGCGCTATGGGCACAAGATATTCCCTATACCTGCAAAAAGAAGCAGAAATCAAAACAATCAAGAAACGAAGTGGAAATGTGAGACCAATGTACGAACCATCAGCTTGTCAGTGGTATATTTCTATATATTGAATGCAGCATTAGTGTGGGCAACATCAGGCGTATGTTTTCGCTTCAATGATACAGAGTTGGACAATTTGTATGCGTATGCTACTATTTACATCTTTCTCTTTAGACACATTTTTCTTTTATGTCAATTATTTCACCTTTTGGTTGTTAATAAACTTTCAGTTAGTATAGGATAATCGCAGATATTTATGTATTTTACTTTCTGCATGAGTTTTCATGAATGATATCAATTCCAACAAAAGGTGGGAGTATTGGTGGTGCTTAAAATTCTGAACATCTCCAGGGCTATAGATAGAATATGCTACATGGACCTTTTCTGATGTAACCTTCTCATCTCTTGATTTTTATACTTTCTTCAGTGAATGAATGCATATTGTATAGGTATAGTCTTGGAGTTAAGGTGTTCTTTTTTTTTTTTTTTTTTTATTAATGTTGAAAGCCATAATTTCTTATGTTCTATACAGATGATGGTGGTGGAATGGATCCTGAATCTATCCGGAAATGCATGAGCTTGGGCTATTCTTCAAAGAAATCAAACAAAACGATTGGACAATGTAATTATCATGGTTTTCTTTTGAATGCAGCTTTTCACTCCATTTTGCATGATAGTTGACATTGTATGACTATTTTCTCTCTCTTAGACACATTTTCTTTTGTGTTATTTTCACCTTTTGGTTGTAAACTTCAGTTATGGATATCGAGATTTTTGTATTTACTTTCTGCATGATTTCTGTGTATCAATTTCCAAAATGATATTGGTGCTTAAAACTCTGAAATTAGTGGTTTGATTTGCTACTTGGCCTTTTCTGTTTCTCCATCGCTATTTGTTAATTTCTTAGGGAAGATCAATGTGGTAAGCTTGGTTAGGTTCTTCTGAGACCTGTACTCTCATGTCATTTCCAACTCAGGAGAATTGAGAAACTGAATTGTGTGCAAAAAAAAAAAATAAATAATAAAAAAATGAAGGGAATCAGGTTGGCCTGCAGAACTGGGGCTTTTTTATTGATCTTTTTTGGAACTAAAATAACTTTTTGCCTTAAGATCTTTTCTAATATGCTCCTGGCAAGTATTCTTAATGCTATATAAGCTGTATTATTGATGGTGCTGAGGTGGTAGTAATAATTAAGATAATTATTATGCAATATTGCTGATATATTTTCTTGGGATGTATGCTCTAATTGCAATCAAATTTGGTTATTCTGCTTTACTTGTATTCAACTCCTAGATTTTGCATTTCTTAAGGCTAGCATGTTTTCAGATGGTAATGGATTCAAGACTAGTACCATGAGATTGGGCGCTGATGTCATTGTTTTTAGCCGTGCTTCTCATGCAAGGTAATGTTTTGTTTTCCCCTCTTTTGCATATGCAACATCATATCTCAGCTGAATTTATGTGTTTTATGGAATGTCTATTGCTTATTCTTTTTATTCCTCTCTTTCTTTTCGGAATCATACCTTTTTGGTTATGCAATAGAGACTTTTTTATTTTGAGAAGATCTGTAATGTTGGGAAATCTCCTGATCAGTGCTTCGTAATGGATACATGTTCAATGAATTGATGAGTTGTAGAGTTTAGATAAGAACAGAGTTTGAGGTTGGGAAATTGAATTAAATTACATTCAGAAGTATTTGGTGCCTGATACCGTGCTATGGTATCACATGGTATTGTTTCAGCAATATTGTGAATGAAAGGAAGGAAGGGGGAGAAAGGGGAGACATGCTAGAAACTCATTCGTCCAAATAAATAAAAATACTCTTAATTCCATTATCAGACATCCCCCCTTCTTTCCCGATCTTCTTCTTCTCAAAAATGAAGAAACAAGGAACAAAGATTCCTAAACAAACTTTTCCTTGTTCAGTAAGGATTTTGAATCCATTAAATTAGAAGATTCCTAATGAAAATCAAAAGTTCCTAAACAATAATAAACCTATATTCCTGAATGGGAAGTTACATGATACTCCTAAATAGAAAAATCTAAATTATCAAACTTAAGGATAAAATCAAAGAAAGTTCTATATCTTTTTCTTGGAGTGCATCACCCCTTGCTTTCTTTTTACTTTAAATAATTGGATAAAGAAATATTGCAAGCATTTGATGATAGGACCACCCTTCCCACTTTTTAAATACACAGCTGGGCGTTTTCTTTCACTGTCTGATTTCTCTTTCAGTGGCATTTTTGTAAGAAAGGCATAACGTAATTGGTGTTTTGATTTCTTGACAATGGGTGTTATTGCCTGAAGCGGAATCTGGAGCAAATCCAAGTTGTATCTCTGTATACTTTTCCTATCTTGACATAATTTTGTTTGCTATAAAATGCTCACTTTCAGAAATCTTACAACTATGTTTGACATTTTATCCACGAGGGATGAAATTAATATAGCATCACTGTTCAGGAAAAAGGGGCAAACTATCATATGCATAAAACTATCTTGAAATCCAAGTCTTCATTTTTAAAGCTGATTTCTCTTTTTAAAATTTTCTTTTAGCAAAGCAACTCAGAGTGTTGGTCTTTTATCCTATACTTTTTTGCGGAAAACTGGGCAGGATGATGTTATTGTTCCTATGGTAATTCTTCTTATTCTTAATGTATAATTTCTGTTAAAGCATGTCTTAGTCATTACTTATTATCCTGACCTTGCGCTGTTGGTTTCACTTACATTTCAGGTAGATTTTGACATTTCTGGCCATTGGGCAGAACCAATAATTTATAGCTCACAAGATGATTGGTCTGCCAATTTGAAAACGATTCTTGAATGGTCTCCTTTCTCATCCAAGGATGAGCTTTTGCAACAGGTTTATTGAGTTAGTCTCAAGTTGAACTATGGAATGATTAAGTTTTATGTGTCTTGATTTTATTAACAAGGAGGACATTGTCTTCAGCACTATAGGCTCATTGCTCATCACTCAAAAGTTTCTAGGTGCATGATTTTTTGGTGATAAGCCAATTTGTTTGCCACTAGTAGAGAAAATGATTTGTTTCTTGTAGAATAGTTTTTTCAAAACACATTTTTTCTGCATTTTCTAGTTCTGGAGGAAAATTATTCAATGTAGATATATTCGACATTAGGGAATACTTTTCAAGGAAAATGGCTTCCCATTTCTTAAATAAGAATTTGGTTTATTGGACCTTCATAGGCGCAAAAGAAAAGAAAAGCTACAATAGAGCTTGATAGGCACATCCCAAAATTAGTAGATGTTTTAAGTATTTGAAGTACTATAATGGTGGACAAACTTCAGTAATTATCGATTTACCGAGCCAAACTGAGGTTGTTCGGTGAAAATGGTTTGGTAAATCGGTAAACAGTAAATGGTCAGTAAATTATTTAGACAAAATTCGGTAAAAGAACCCAAAAGCAAATGCATCTGCAGGTTCACCAATCATTGACGGCTCTAGAACTACTAATCCTACATAACATGCAATAGTACCTAGAATTACTACTGGAAAAATGTATAAAAGGTCATTGGGCCATGCAGGTTCTCCGTAATAATTCGACCCATTCCCTTAGCCAATTTAGCTTTTAATATAGGATCATTCAAGTCAGGTTTTTTCGTTTTAATTCTTTTTTTGGAAAAAAGCCAACCTTGCATGGTAAATCGGTCAATTCGGTAAATTGGTCGGTAAATGGTAAAACTTTATTGGTAAATCGGTAAATATGTAAATTGGTCGATAAATGGTAAATACTCAATCAATAAATTAGTAAATGGTTGACCAAATTGGTTGAATGTCCACCCCTCATATATAAATACATTGATATATATAATGGTTGACCAAATTGGGTTGAATGTCCACCCCTTTCATATATAAATACATTGATATATATATATATATATTATATATAAATATAATTATAATATATATATATATATATATATATATATATATAGTTTGATAGCATTCTCAAATTATTTGAAACCTGTTAAACACAATATTTCTTATATATAGTTTGATAGCATTCTCAAATTATTTGAAACCTTGTTAAACACAATATTTTTCTTGAAGAAGCTAGGAAATGTTATTTGGATGCATTCGTAGAATTCTAGTGTGGGAAACGCATTTTCTTGTTGTTGGTTTTACCTATATCCTTAAGCATTTGCTAAAGGGCAAATGATATTGGTGTGGTCAACATTTACTTTTCAGCATAGTTCTTAGTTGGATGTATAATATTTTGGTGCAAATTATGCTAAGTGAACAATCTCATTGTGGAAGTTTGTGGGAATGTTCTTTTCAATATCCCATTTTGTTAATAGGTATGATTTTTTTTATACCATTAGAAGTTGGAATTACGGAGGAGCACTCTTGAGAGTGTTGGATTTTAGGCTAAGCAAAAGTCGAATATAATACATGCAAAGAAGAACGGCGTTGAGATTAGGGATTTTAGGCTAAGCAAAAGTAAGACATAATACTTGCATTGTGAGTTTTACTCCAATAAGCAAAATGGAGTTGAGGTTAGATTGGATGGCATTGTGGTGCCAAAGTGCAGTTAATTTAGATATCTAGGCTCTATTTTTAAGAAGGGCGATATGATGTATGGAGATATAATTCATGGAATTAAAATAGGATGTCTGAAAGGGAGGAGTGATGCAAGTGTGCTATGTGGTAGGAAGATATCTAACAAAGTGAAAGGCACTCTTTGTAAGATGGCAGTGAGACTTGCAATGTTATACTGGAGTAAATGTTGGGTATAAATGCCCAACATGTTCACAAGATAAATGTTGTAGAGATGCGAATGTTGAGATGGATATATGGTCACACATGATTGAATAAGATTAAAAATGACTACATTGGACAAAAGGTACATGTAGCACAACTCGGGATAAAATGAGAGAAGGATGTTTGAGATGGTTTGGTCATATCTTATATAGACCCTCTTATGTCCCAATCTGTACATGTGAAACATTGATGGTGGACGGTGCTAAATGGGGAAGAGGTAGACCTAGAACTATAATGAAGGAACTTGTTGCAAAAGATCTAAAGTCCCTTGACATTAGTGCATGTGTAGCTATAATGGAGTAGAGACAAATGATTCATATAGTCGACCCCAACTAGTTTGATTTATTCTTAGTTATTGTTGTTGTTATTTTATCATAGACAATGTATTGGTGACACCAGCCCACCACTGCCTCTGACATTAAATTCTTGCCTTATTACTTATTAGGATGTTTGCCTAATGCCATTACAGAGCCATAATGTTTGATGTCCTCACTGCATAATTTCACATAACATGTTTAAAGCATTAGATGGCTACTTTTTTCTACCTTAGGGATGCATTTACAAACATGCTTATGTGCGTCTCTAATTTGTTTTTGTTCCCAGTTTGAGGATATTGGACGACATGGAACAAAAATAATAATATACAACTTATGGCTAAATGATGAAGGCATCTATGAACTGAGTTTTGATGACGACGACGAGGTATGTTGTTTTGGCACAATGGTCTGTTTGACAACTTACTAGTTTTTTCATTTAATGTGTTTGTAATATGTTTTGCAAAATAATCTGCTTGCTATGGTATTGTTTCTGCGGAATCTATTACACTAAATTTAATATCTACCTTGTACCAAACGTTTGTCATTTTTACATTTTTGGAAAATTATACTTTTTAAAGCTGGAAAATTGTACTTATTTGGCTATTTTTGCTAAACGTTTTGGCTTTGCTTGATAAGGATTTGCTCACCTAGAATTTTTAGGACCTATATATTGGGGACTTGAAAAAGAAGGGTTTTCTTTGATTGCTTATGCTTATTTGACAAATATGCAAAGTTGCAAGTAAGAATCTTTCCTTGATATATTTTATTTGATTAGAAAGTTGTATATTAATTCCATCATAGTTTTCTGCTGAACATGAGTTGGCCTGAACCTTCTTTCATGTCTAAACAAAAATTGCATTAAATTTAGAAATCTCAGGAAGGTAAGGATCCAAAGGAGAGTCAGAGATTATACTTAGAAGGAGGTGGAGAAATCTGTATTCTTTTTTCTTTTTTCTCTTTTATTTTTTCACTGTTTAGGTTGGAAAAATATGCACACATCTTCACAAAGCTGATTTCATCTTTTAATATATTCTGAAGTAATAGGTGTTTTTGGCTTTTATGCGGACACATGCTTTAGAGAGGTTCCTTTTAGTGTTATTCAACTTGATATGAAAGCATTACTATTTTAGCTTTTCTTTATGCTCTTTTCTTTTGTTGTTTCCTGTGATTTTAGGAGTATCCTTTGTCATCCATGCTCACTCCCCTCCATTCTGTGCCAAGAAAAATTCCTTTCTTAAACTTTACAAATGCTTTGTCTTTAACCTTTTGGACTTAATTGTCTTAGCAAGCAAATTTTTCTAATGAAGTGTATTTTTAGTGGCAAGTTTCACGACATTAAGGTCTCCTTTTTGTAGGTTAAAATGTGGAGTTTTTTTTTTTTTTTTTTTTTTCTATTTAAATTATAGCATTATTAATTAAGGAAAAGTCTGTTTTTGGGTTTCCTACTAAGGACACCATCAAAATCATTTTCAAGCATGATATCATCATAAAAATATGAATAAATAGCTGACTTACTGTTGGAAAATTAAATAACGACATCAAAAAAATCCACTTTCCTTTATAGGTTTTGATTTATGACAAAAATATCCCAAATGACCATAAAGGCATTTCAGTGAGAGATTCTAACCAAAAATACTTAATTAAAATAACTAAAATACATTTAAGCATGCATTGTGAAACTTCAACACAAATAGAGTGGAAGTTTTGAGCCCGTTAGTGTTATTAATCCCTATTTGTTTTGAGGACCCGTGTTCCATTCAAATATATATATTGATATTTGATGTAGGATATACGTTTGAGGGACGAAGCTAGTTGTGCTGGTCAAAAACTAAATAAAAAAGTTGTTGAACTTCAATCTCATATTTCTTATCGCATTCGCTATTCATTAAGGGTAAGCTTTCAAATATTTTGTCCTTGTATTTGATTTCTATTCTTTAGTATTACTTTCTTGACTTGTAAAAACATTTTTTCTTTCTACAGGCTTATGCTTCAATTTTATACCTAAGAAAGTTCACAAACTTCAGTATTATATTAAGGGGGAAGCCTGTAGAGCAGTTCAATATTGCAGATGACTTGAAATACTCAAAACTGGTGACCTACAAGCCTCAGCTTGGAATGGCATCAAAAGAGGTAAGATACATAGTAAAAAGCAAGGGACATGCTTTTTTCCCTGAAAAAAGAAAACACAGGAAACAAACCGAAGCCCGACTCAAGTCTGGCCTGACCTTATTTCCTCCTCTAGTTGCTGGGTGCTCACATCTTTGCTAATGTTTTCTCTCTTACCTGCTGTTTATGGCTTGACTAACAACATACAATCTTATTCACTTTGACTAATGATAACAACTATTCATTGAAAAAAAAAAAACCCAAATCTTTGGTGTTAGTGGTGGTCTTGAAGACGATTTAGGAATTATTCTTTAGCATAATTGTTGTTCAGTATAATGAAAATTTTATAACTAGAAGTTCTTTGCATATTTTAGTAATTGTGAATATCTCAAGATAAAACTAATTTACAAGAAATATGTTGAGATGTGAATCATATTCAACAGAAGATACTGCATGCTAAAATTTTCAGGGATAGGGAATGTCTTCTCACTGGGGAAGGTTTTTTTTTTTTTTTTTTTGGGAGTTTTTTTTTTTTTTTGGGGGGGGGGGGTGTTTGTCTCTCTTGTCAAACGACTCAAGAAAGATTTTTCAGGCCCATAATATGGTACCGGTTGGATTGCCCAAGGCTGTTCTAATTATGAATAATATTTTATAATTGTGAGTTTCTCCTATTCCCATTTGTAAAGGAACAATCTAACATCTCTATAAGTAGGTCCATGCACTGTTCTCCCTCATTGTTAAAAGGTAAAAATTGCAGGTGTTCTCTATGGATGTAGGCACATTGCTGAGTCATGTAAAAATCCCAGTGTCTTGTTCTCCTTTCTCTTTGTACGTCTCTTATACTATTTTCTGTTTGAGTTGCATGCCTCTGATTTCCAGCAAACTCTTCAAAAGCAGTTAGGGCATTAAGTAAGCCAAGTTCAGCTTACTTTTTGAACTTGTGCGAAATCAACTTATTTAAACCTTGAAACCAACTAACTCGTAAATTCACATGTAACTTTTTTTTTTCTTTTTTTTTTTTTTTTTTTTTTTTTTTTTTTTTTTTTTTTTTTTTTTTTTGGGGCGAAAGTATCCTACTGAAAAAAGATAGCATTTTGAATGACGTATCACTTACAATTTTGTTCCAGACATCATGCATTCTATCATGTCTTACTATATTAATATTAAGGGTAAAAATGCTAAAACCTTCCTGAAGTTTTCTATTGTGAATGCTTAATAGTCCCTCTTCTTTAAAAGTGGTGATTGTCCTTTTAATTTCACCACCCTTTACTACTTGCATTAAAATTTGTTATATATTTCATCCAACATTTTAGTCCTTCAGTTTTCATGTGAAACCACTTTTCAATCCCTATAAAGTGAAAAGGTGGAGGACTAACATGTTATATCATTTTAAAAGTAAGGTACTAAAAGATTATTGTACTTCAAAATGTGAGGGACTAAAATTTATTATAAGTACTAAATTATAGTGAAATTCAAAAGTTGAGGACCATTTAATGTGCTTTCATAAAAGGAGGGAGCTATGTATTAATTTTGCTAAACTTCAAGGGGTTTTGTAATTTACCCTAAAATTATAATGATTGTTGAAGCTGTTGATATTTTCTTTAAAGTTTCACTAGCAACTTGACTACTTAAAGTTGTTAAGGACTGTTGATACTAACAAATAAGTTGTGAGACTTGGCTCATCAAGAAATTGTTTCAAGTCTTCTAGTTAAAACCATGAGCAATTCCAAGCCTTAAAATGAAGCCAGTTTAATGGACAAGCCAAACATGAACAGATAGCTTTTTGCTTGTAACTGTCGTTTTAGAAATAAGTTAATTTACGCATAATTACAGGAAATTTTTACCAACGAGTTCAGGTGGCATATCTTGACTCAAATCTGCACATCTGCTGTCTAAAAACAATCCAATTCTTGAATTTTGCCATATTCTGCCTCATCTTGCAAGGTGATGAAGAGAAATTTGTGTTTTGGGTGCGTTTGCTATCCAATTGATGCAAAATCTCAAAATTTCTGCTTATGCATTTTATAGAACTTGGTTTTTGTGCAATGTCCTATATTTTATTTATTTATTTATTTATTTATTTTAATTTCTTTTAAATGTTCATTCTATATAAGTTTATGTATGCTAACAAATTTGAACTTTTTGAATGGATTAATACCTTCACACCACATTGGGAGGAGAATTTTTCAGTACTGTTGCTAGTTTTTTGCATGAATGTATCATCTCCGTTTTTATTCTTTTTTAATTATATCTTCTGCATCTCCTTGATGGTCTTTTCAGAACAAAAGGAAATTTATATGCCTAACATATGTCTAATATCTTATGGTTTCTTTGGAATAATCATTTGTTTGCAAAGTCTGAGAACTCAATCTATTTTGAGCATCTTAGTTGTTTGATCAAAAGGCATGTGTGTTTGAGTTTTTCTTTTTGGTGGCTGCTAGGTTGCTGCTGTGGAAACAAGTATTGGTTTCATCAAAGAGGCACCTGCTCTTTGTATTTCTGGATTCAACGTATACCATAAAAATCGCCTGATAAGGGTATCCCTTAGTAACTTCCACACGTCTTTTTGTGCCTTGTTCTATATCCATGAATATAGTTGCAATGGCATGTTTGATGTAGATGAATATTGTTAAAATTTGGGTTTTAACCTCTGTGATCAATTAGCAAGTTCAATAAACTTTTATGGTTTAAACATAGTTCATGTCTTTGTCTTGAATAAAAGTAGCATAGTTGCTTTTTCTAAACTAATTAGTTGGGCTGTTTTCATTTTCACAGCCCTTCTGGAAAGTCACCAGCGATGGTAGTTCGAAGGGGAACGGTGTTGTTGGTATTCTACTTTCGTCTACATTTTTCTGTTCCAAAGTATTTCCTTAAATTTTCTTTAATAGCTGCTTTGTCGATATATTACAGGAGTCCTTGAAGCAAATTTTATAGAACCAGCACATGATAAGCAAGACTTTGAGAGGTCATCAGTGTTCATTCGACTGGAAGCCAAACTTAAACAGATATTGACGGATTACTGGTTTGTAATGTTCTTGTGGATCTTCGAATTTCTTTATGTGGAACACTATGATTTGCATAACCAATATCATTAGTCAATTAAGTATAGCATCCTGTAAGAATTCGAGCGAATGATATTCACTAACATTATGTTTGTGCGTAACCATTCCTCATTCTAGTGTTTGCATCTTGGAAGAATTAGAGTTGATGATAGTAAAAGGACCCCCACCACTTGCTTGCCATCTTTTTATTGGTTACTACTCCTTTTCCTCTCTGCTGGCAATATTAATTCTTCTTTCAATGGTCCATACCATAAACCCCTAACTAGGATCTTTATCATCATTATCAAATTAGGGTGTAATTGCAATTAGGTTAGGAATTTAGGGTTCCCAGGATACAAAGATGGATTTAGGTGAAAATAGAGAAGATTAAGAGAGATGTTTGAAGCATTCAGCTCGATTATTCCTTCAAGCTTGTTAGTATATATAAATAAATCCCATATTTGCTGGCCCAATCATAGCCTTGATTCATACCCTAATTACAGCACATCAATCCCATGATAATAGCTGTGTAGTCACCTAATTACAGCCCTAAATTATAGCCTTAATTCCTGCCTCAACCACAGCACATCAGTCCCACAGTTATATTCTTGAACTCTAGCTTTAATAACAGCATCCTAACAAATTTTACATTCCCCCTTAAGCTGGAGCATACATGTCATATGCTCCTAGCTTGTTACAAATATATTCAATCCAAGGACCTCTGAGAGATATAAGAAGGATATCTGCCAACTGATTGTTTGAATTGACAAAGGAGGTAGTAATACATCCTGACTCAATTTTCTGGTTGATGATGTGATAATTTGTCTCTATATGTTTTGTTCTTTTGTGAAATATTAGATTTGAGGCATTATAAAATGCAGCTTGATTGTTACATATCAATATCATTTGTTTGATTTCTCCATATTTTAATTTTTGAAGAAGTTGCTTCAACCAAACAAGTTCACAGGTGGCTAATCCCATGGCTTAGTGTTCTACTTCTTCACTTGATCTGAACACAATGTCTTGCTTTTTACTCTTTGAAGATATTAAATTCCCTCCAATCATAACACAATGGGGATTGGAGAAATTGACTAAACACACTTATAATAGCAAAAGAATATTCTCCGTATTCTTTGGTTCATCAACATTGTGAAGAATTTTCAGTTAAGTTATGCTATAGCAAAAATATAAGACTCTTGGATTTCTTCACTCCTAAGAAAATGTTCATTCTTCAGCTCATTTCAAATTACTTCAATTGGTGCACCCAAAAAATAGGCCAACTTGTACTTTTTGCTCAATTTCTCGGCGGAGTCAAATTCTCATTAGTACGAGTTAAAGGAATGGTCCTCCGGCCTCGGATTTCGATATGAAGGGCACGCCAAACGTAAATACCCTCTTCACGTGTGATTGTTTGATAGTTGAGCTTACGAACCGATCTTTGATATCTATCTGAGTCTTCCAATGGCTTCTCCTGTCTAAAAACAAGTTTAACATTTGGATCCACGGGAGTATCCGCATGTTTGCAATTTAACATGCTGTCCAGAGCATATTTCCTTTGTAAAATATCAATGCTGTCTTGGATTGTGCCACTTCATTTCCCAGAAAATGCTTAAGCTTTCCTAAACCTTTGGTTTGAAAATGACTAAACAAATGTTGTTTGAGTTGAGAAATCCCTTCATGATCATTGCCTGTTATAACTATATCATCAACATAAACCACTAAGTAAATACATTTACCATGGTCTTCATGTGGATCAACAACTGAGTGCTAGGGAAGAATATGAATCATCTAACTACCAAAACCAAAAAAAAGACTAATATAGCAAAATTATCACACCCCTCTTACTTTACATCTACTCTTTCTCTCAAAACTAAGACCCATTTCTTATCTTTTATCCTCTTTGTTGCTGAGACCTCAAATTGAGCTCAACAGGGAGAGGAAAACGCCACCACAATCATCATAACTAAATCAAAACAAGAATAATCCACATGGAAAAATAGAGTGAGTGATGGTGCTGAAGCCAGAGTTTATGATTGCTTGTCCAAAGGAGAGGCTGCAGCAGCAGTTGGAGTTGGAAATGAAGGAGTGCATGGTGAAGAGAGAGAGATTAAATATGGCAATAGGGGTACCAAAAAGTATTAATCTAGTAGGGCCTGTACCATTTTTTTATTGATTCGTATCGGGCTCGAATCAAGTCATCAATCATTGCTCTTATTAATAATCATCCACAATGATCAATTAATGGATGCTTTATGGTTTTGTTAATGAATAAATTCATGAACTGTTGCTGAATATGTATATCTAATATTTGGAAGCTGATTTTTTTTTTTTTTTGCCCTTTTGACAGGAATAATCACTGCCATTTAGTCGGATATCAGTATGGTCTGGCACAAAAGAAACATTCTGCTAAATCAAGGATGCCATTGTCTATCAACCAGCTTGATGAAGAAGAAATGCATCTCGATCAACCTCGTAATGATGGCCAAATTAATTTTCCTTTGGAACATCCGATTACTGGGTCTGCAGACGTAAGTGATGTACGTCCTTTCTTATTTCATTTGCAAATTTAATTTCATTATACCAGAGAGGCATGAGCACAGGCCATCTGCAACGAGTTGAGTCTAATTCTAATCTTTAATAAAATCTTTTGGTTGAGACCAGTGTGCTTTTGTGTTCTAGGCATTCAGATGCCTACGATATAACAGTTGAGAGAGAGAGAGAGAGAGAGAGAGAGAGACCAATTGTTTCTGACCAGCATGCTTTTGGTTTTATGTTCCGGGTGTTCAAATGTCTACATATCATTGTATATAGGTATAATATTAAAAAGATACTACATATATATTTAGTTTAAACTATTTAAAAAAAAGACTCATCCAATATACATAGCTATGGTCCTTCTTATATTATAATTTGATTGGACAAGTTATCCTAGCTTAATGGAAAACGAAAACCCAATTAATGGATTCTTGTATTAGGTGCCATGTCAATTTAATGGCTAAGCGTGACAACATGATTTAGTACATATACAATTAAAATTTTGTGGTACTTACTATTAGTTTTAAATTATTTAGTAACACTTATTTGTATATCACCTAAATTTTCGATTAAATTAAAATTTACTTAAATTTTTAACTTGAAAATTTGCATTGGATATAATAAGTCGATAAATTTTTAATTTTTTTGCTATTGAGAAACTTTATCACTTAAATTTTCATTGTTCAAAATTCAAATATTAAATTTTTAATTTTATTAAACACCCTTTAAGTTTAACCATATCAAAATCATTTATTCTTTCCAAGTTAATTTGACACATAAAGTCATTAGCAATGCATGTCAAGGTCCTCTAGCTTTTCCTCATTATTTTTTTTTTTTTTCAATTTTTTTGGTCATTATGTCTTGTATTTTGAATTTGAGAGACATTTTTTTAAAACTAAACATAGCAGTGACCAATGGCAAAAGAGGATGAGGGCTGAGGCGCCAATTGGTTCAGATCAGCTTGCTTTTTATGTTCTAGGTGTTCCATGTCTATACAATATAGACATAGGGAGAGATTGTTGTGGGAGGGGTGGTGGGGGTTTGCAGAGAGATGACTGCCTCTCACAAGAAATAGGTAAAATATTATCTTCTATTGTGGTGGAAGAGAGAGAGAGAGATTTGTGGGGGACGCGGCCTGTGGGGGTTGGGTGCGCAGAGAGCTGACTGCCTCTCATAAGGAGTAGGCCTAATAAAATACTTTTTTTCCAGTTTTAGTTTGATTCCTAAATTTAATGTAAACTGTAAATAGTTTGAATTACAATGAGATAGAAATAAAATGTTCAGTTAAAATTAAAGTCTAAATGATCAAATTAAATCAACTGTTAATCTGAACATAGTTGGTACAAGCAGATCTTTTTTCTCCATTCTGCTAGGTTAAGACCTAATAAATGGGAAATAAAAATTACAGTTATTCTTCCATTGTGGCATGCTCAAGTGATCGCTTTTTTTGGATGGTAGTTTCAATTTTCTCAAGGTATTGGAACCTGAAATTGCAAATACTTTTTATGTCAAGTTTTAGTCTGTGTTGGGGAATCATTTAAATATATGGATATGTACTTGACGTGGGATTCAAATTTAGTTGATAGACAAGTTGACTGTGGCAAATCAATCTGAGATGGCGTCTAAAATCCCATAATAGTTGCTGCTAACTAATGAGTTTGTCTATTTGTCATGATGCATGGCTAATGGGCAGAAATGTGAAGCAGAAGCTTAGGTTTGAACACCTAAATACTACAATTCAACCAAAACTAGTGTGCCTATGGAGGGTCAAGCTTATTTGGAGAAATAAAATAGAAAATCAACAAACTGCCTTAAGAAACATAAAATTACATAGTCTGCTACTCATAGAATGGCTGAAGAATGAATAAGTGAAAGTATGTCCTATCTATACCGGCTTGCTTTCATAATTAGGGCTTCAGCTACACCTGATGAGAGGAATATTTTCTGTTCAGAATGCCTATTCTGTTTATTGATATCTTAGTGGATGAGCAATATTTTTCACTTGTCTAATTACAATTCATGGTTAAATGCCTCTTTTTTGTAGGGATCACTCGATGAAGATATTGCTGGGTTCATATCAATTGATCAGATTTGTGAAGAGAACATACAACTTTTTATGAGGTGGATTATTTTATTTTCAATCTAGCAATTTCTGAATAATCATGTTATATATTGATTCCTTCCATCTTCAGTTGCTAGGATATACATGCTTTTCGCAAAATTTACTTCCAGCAGTACTCCAATTCAAATGTGACCATTTTGAGGAAGAAAAACATTTTGCCTCTTACGTTATAGTGGCGCAAGAATAACATGCAGTTATAACAAGGGATAAATATCAAATTGTAGAACTAATTAATTACCTTGGGATTCTTTATTTTATGAAAGAACAAAGAATGATTAGAGGCATTGAACATATGGTCACTTTTAGTGTATGTTCAGCCCATTCTCTAGCTGTTAAAGTTCAACACAAATATCCTACCATAAAGGAAATTGTATGTCTAGCTTAAGTTAAACAGTCCATACCAGATGTGAATTGGGTTCATCAGTCATCATTTTGGTCAACCATGTGCTTGGGAAGCATAATCGTGCTACTTAAAGTTGCATCCTTTATATCATTGGCAAGGCTTGCTGTGATATTAATGCAACCTGACAGTGGTTGTAGGAGCAAAGGATCCCATCTTAGTGTTTAGGTGGAGGAATAAGAATTTAAAAAATGAAGGTATTGGAATTTATAAGTAGATATTAAAATCTAGTGATTGAAATAGAGAAGAGAAACATAATAAATAGCTTGTAGAGTTTAACTGCTGTGATAGGAAAAAGAATACACATCCAAGCAAACAGTTTGTGGTGTAAATGGAATTGTTCTTTAATAGAATGCATTTTGGTAGACAGGGCAAATGCACTGTACTGGGTATGCATGAAGCCTTCAACTTTCTTCTTGTTTTCTCTGAAAATGACAGCTTTTGGCTTGATCAGCTTAAGGGATATTTAGACCGTTAAATTAGATTTTATTCATACATTGTCCTATCTGGGCTATCGACATAAACTATTCATGGCCGTTCAATTGATCAATTTATTTTTCCTTCATATATTTTAAATACAAGGAACAGATATAGAGGTTTAATTGGACCTTTCTTCTCGGGACCTTGTGATATCTTCCTTGATGTTCCTATTTATTTATTTTTTACAATTAGCCGATTATGTATTAATTGTCTCAAATACATTTGTTGTTAAATTGCATCTAATGCCTTCTACAGGTGTGAGGAACACAGGCAGAAAGAGGCTGAGTTAAAACGCCTGGTAGGTATCTTTAAGCTGGAAACATGACCTTTTGCAAGTTTTTTGATAAATGTTTATGAAAACACCATCGAGGCCCATCGTATTTTGTCTATTGAGCCTTTGAAATCTGTGTTTTTTGTTTTTTTTTTTTATGACATTCAGGACATTTTTGTGCCAAAGTAAAATTCATTAACCTGTGGAAATTATTCAAGCTAAAAAAGAGGAGGAACTCATTTTTGTGCCCTTGAACTTCGTTATTAGCAGCACAATTTTTTTGAAAAGCAACACAACTTTTTAGTAATTTGTGAAATATTGTCAACAAATTTCTCATCAATTTTACTTTTGCAATAAGTAAAATGAAAGTTGATGGGCTTAATGCTGAGAAATAAAAATTTGGAGGCTCAATGGACAAAGCATGACAAATCCAAGGGTTCCGGAGTACTTTTCTTCAAATGTTTATATAGTGATGTTTATGTTGGCCAAATTATCAGGTAACAGACTTGGAGAAAGAATTGGAACAAGAGAAGAGGAAGCTTGCTCAACTTTCTGTGCACTTGGAGACGAAGAAGAAACAGAAGGCATTAGAACAGCAAACCCATAAAGTTTCATAATGATACTAAACTGTTACTTGTAATGTTTTTTAGGTTTTGTAAAGCTCAGTTGTGGTACCAATTTACCAACTTTGTAGTGTATAGAAATGCCAAAGTCTATTGTGAGAGTGTGCATCCGAGATTGAATTGCAAGAAACAGATGATCCAATGGGTTTTAAATACCTCAAATTTTATGCCTTGCAATTTTACCCCAGATTATGTAAAAATGCTATTTAACCCTAATTTGAAAATCTTAGTTTCAAATTTATCTTGCAGGTAAAAATGAGAAAAAAAAAAAAAAACAAAAGAAAGAAAGTTCTCATTTTATTATTTATCTAAATAGAGAATTAACTTTTTCAACTGTTTTTAATTTTCTCTTTCCCGATATGTTACAGTCTCTTAATTTTCTTCCCTAGATTTATTTTCTCCCCTCAATATGATTATGGCTTCCTGAGCTTTTAACTTGTAAAATCGTATTTGTTGAACATTATAGCTTCCAAAATGATTCTTATTGAACGCTTACGATGTAAATACTACACATTAAATTTAAATCTCATTAAATTTAATTATGGATAATTGAAATATAAATTCTACACATTAAATTTTTAATTGTGTAATTGAAATATGTAATTTTATACGTTAACTCTTCCTCTAAAATGTAAAATTGTCTTTAATAACTTTCTTGATTAAATAATGAAAAAAAAAAAAAAGAGTGATTTGTTTTAGTGTTGCAAATAAATGGGATATTAAGAGATTTGATTAGGGGATAAAAATTTAAATTTTGGAAACTCAATTTTACACCCTTAACTATGCTCCATTTTTAAATTTTGTGTCCTTTAAAAACTCAAGTTTCATTTAATCAGAGCATAGTTTCTTAATTGGACCATATTTATTTTTTCCAACGTAAATTTAAAGAATAACTAACTATGTTACAAAATTTTCTTCACATTTAATATTAATCTAAACTTTTATCTGTCATTACCATTATAATCTCCTAAATAAAACTTTGCACAAAGAATAAGACGAGTAATAATAAGGTTTTCACATTAGCTTTTTTTTCCAATGTTATAAATAAGAAAGTTTGTCTGTATAAAAAGAACAAAAAAAAAAAAAAAAAAAAAAAAAAAGAAGAAAGTTTATCTATATAAAAAGAATGGAGTCAGTATTCGTATATTGTTAATTATTAATTAATAATTATTATATCTATAGATATTCTATGTCAATAAATATTGTTATAGGATTATCTATAAAAATTGCTTTTATATATATATATATGTTCTAAACTCCCCTTTCTCTGTTTCGTTTCTATTGTTTGTTTGGATTTGGTTGTAACCGATGTAAGTGTAAAGGTGGTTATATATATATATATTCATTTAGTTTGGTTTGAATTGAAGACGGTTTAAAAGAAGAGAAATTAAATTTTCTCATTCATCTAGTTAATGAAAAAAAACTACTATATTAAACATAAAAAATGATATATACAAACAATCACATAAAACATACATAATTTTAAATAGTGGTTAAAATTTTTTAAATTATTTTTTATACGTTCATCTGAGCATATTCAAAAAAAAAAAAAATATTCAGTTTAACTTAGCAACCTATTCATATAAATTTAAGTATTAATTTATTCTACATTTATTAATATACAAATTATAAAAAAAATTATAGTTTCACCCGTGTATAATTTGTAGTTAATTTTGATAATATATATATTTCATGAAAACCTTTAACATTTAAACTTTTTATAAAATAATTATATAATTTATCTAACTAGTATGGGATTATGATATAATTATCATTCAATATAAACTGTGCAATACAAAATAAATTTTCATTCAAAAATTGAATTAAATTATCTATTATTCAATATATACGGAGGTTCGGTTTAGACAAAGATTTCACCATAGAATTATAAATCGAACCGAAAGCTCATTTTTTTTTTTTTTTTTTTTTTTTTTTTTATTTAAAAATCCAACTCAAAAAAAACCATCGACTCTTAAAAAATTGTGGTTTTGTAGATCGGTCTGGGGCACCTGCGGGGTTTTATTTGGAAACACCCGATAGATAAGATCAAGGATTAATTGGCCTTTTTTTTTTTTTTTTTTTTTTTAATTTTAAAAATCAACTCAAACCATCGACTCTTAAAAATTGGGTTGTAGATCGGTCTGGGCACCTGCGGGGGTTTTATGGACACCCCCGATAGATAGAGATCATAGATTATTTGGCCTGTGATACTCCCTGAGTTTATTTTTATTCAGCTGTGTTAATTTTATCGCTGTGACACTGAAGCTCTTCCTCAAAACGAGAAATTTATCGAATGTTTAACATGCGATCGTGATCCATTAATACGAGAAAGCCAACCATGAGGAAACGTGACTTAGCTATTCTTATGCTTTCAGCTTTTGCAATCTTCTTCTCTCTTCAGGTAATACTAATAATCATTTCCAAAACCCTAAAACCCTCAATTTCACCTTTATTTTGATAGAGTTTTTGCTAATTACTGTTTTCTAATTGTAATTAAAGCATTTCTTTTGTTGGATTAATTCTTGATTTAAAGCATGAAGGCGATTTCTCGTTTAGAGAAGCATGGTTTCATTTATCCGATGATTTTCCGATTAAATATGAAGCTGATCGTCTCCCGCCGCCTATAGTCGCCGATCTAAACGGCGATGGAAAGAAGGAGGTGCTTGTTGCCACTCATGATGCCAAAATTCAGGTACTTTTGAAAATCGTTTATCTAATTTTTGAACCTTTTTGCTTTCTCTGGCAGTAGAAAATCGGTGGTTTATTAATTGGGTGTATGTGTTAGGTATTGGAGCCTCATTCTAGGCGGGTGGACGAGGGGTTCAGTGAAGCGAGAGTGCTTACGGAGTTGTCATTGTTGCCCGACAAAATTCGTGTTGCATCTGGTAGACGGGCAGTGGCCATGGCTGCTGGCGTTATTGATAGAATTTATAAGCCAGGCCAACCTCAAAAGCAGGTGTTGGTTGTGGTTACTTCAGGTTGGACAGTGATGTGCTTTGATCACAACCTCAAAAAGCTGTGGGAAACAAATTTGCAGGTCAATCTCTAATGTGCTTGTGCCTGTGCGGTATTTGCAATTTCTTGTTTACTAACACCTTTTTTTTTAGGAGGATTTTCCACATAATGCTCACCACAGGGAAATATCAATCTCAATAAGTAACTATACCTTGAAGCATGGTGATACAGGATTGGTTATTGTTGGTGGGAGAATGGAAGTGCAACCACATGTATGTTTCTTGTAATTTTAGGTTGCACTTTGTTTTGTATTTAATCATTTCTACTTTGTTTCCACCAGGCCATATATTTTTTTGTTTCAGCGTTATTGCTGTAATAGCTTTCAAGTTTGACAGGTAGAACTTGAAATAATAAAGAAGTTATCTCCTAATAATATTCGTTTTATTTGGGGCTATAGAAATCTTAAATAAGTTTTATTATTGGGCTTGCCATGTCATTTTTTGTTTCCCCAAGTTTTTTGCCTACTGTTTTCGTTGTTTCCTACTGTTTCACTTCTGCAAGTTTCTATGTATCCTTTGATGCGGCCCTTGCTAACCTGTGGGTCCAGATTGAAGATGATGGAGACTTGACTTTTTTTCAACATGTTGACTTGATAAATTTAAATAGTTTGCATAGAGATGTTATAAGGTTGTATAAATTGAATAATATCATTACTTAAATGCATTTACGTGTGCATATCTCTGGTTATCATTTCCAGATTTACTTGGATCCATTTGAAGAAATTGGAACAGCTGAGAGAAATGCTGAGCAGCATAGAAGAAGTGCTAATGAGAAGGAGGTATGGACATCTTAAACGTGAATTACACCTTCTAACGTGAAGTAAATCCTATATCTATTTTGTTTGCCCGAAAGGAATTATGAACAAAACATTTCTCAACTGAAACACATATAGGGTGGCCAACTTTCTTGCATATTATGTGACTTAATAGTGTCTCTTAGGACAATAAAAGTTTAAACCCATGAACTCCAAGCCATGATGCAACCTTACTCTTACACCAAAGCTGACGCACTATCCTAGTATTGTGCAAAATTATTGACACTTCTGCCTTGTAGTTTGAATATTAAGTCCTAATTTTAGGTGTTATTCCTTACAGAAAGTTGTCTTGGAATTGAACTCTTGAGAATCACAGATATGTGAAGATGGCTGTGCACTTCAGAATTCGAATTAGGAAAATACAATTACTAATGTGCATATATACATATCCCATCTAAATGGCTTCATGTAACATTTGTCTATGGCGTTTCATTGATGCAATTGTATTGAGATTACATCATTCTAAAATCACTGGTGGTTTGTGTTGACTGAAAATCTTTTTATTATACTTGTATAATATGAAGAGATTTTCTCCTCTTGCATTTATTGTAATTATTTGTCTTGGCATGTGCTAATTGATTTATATAGTAGCCTTTTTTGTTTCAAGCTCTCTGTATCCTATTCCTCAGTTGCAATCATATCTGATGTTATTTTATTTGTTTCCTTTTAGTGGTGAGATTCTTAAAATTCCTTTTTATATCCTTTGTAGGCTTCAGAGAACTCTGGAACTGTGAATTTACGCCATTTTGCCTTTTATGCATTTGCTGGTCGAACTGGCGTCCTTCGATGGAGCAGAAAGAATGAGGTGACTGGCTCATCAATTATTATTACTTGTACTTGAATAGGGACCAAAAGAAATCCTTGGATTGACAACCTAGGTTTTTCATAAGCTTTCAATTGCTTGTATTAGTAAAATCTCCCTTGTTCGCTATGCAAGTAAAATCTGTGAAATTGAAAGATAACTATGCACTAAAAAAGATTTAGAATTCCTGATTCATTAAAATGAGGGATTTCACTAACCCCCTCCTATGAAGGGTTGCAAAACCTTCATTTTGAGGGAATTTGTAAGGTCAATTTATTTTTTGTCTTACTTTTTCTCAAAAAATTATGATCATAACATTGAGTAGGAAACTACAATTCATGATAGCACCTTCCTGATACCTGATAATATTATTGTAGTACTTGTATAGAATATCAGCTATCTTTTCAATTACTAATGTCATCATTTTTGTGGTTTAGAACATTGAAGCACAATCTTCAGATGCATCCGAACTAATTCCACAACATAACTACAAGCTTGATGTGCATGCACTAAATAGCCGTCAACCTGGAGAGGTAGGCCTTGAAGCCATTTTGAAAACAACTACTCTACGAGTTTTGTTTGCCCATTTCTTATATAAACCATAATTCTTTGTTGATATTAATATCTGTAATTATTTTTATTTTTACACTATTCTAAAATAGTCATTGAAGCCATTGTATATATTAAGGTTTCGGATTCTATTGATTTATCTTAATCGGTCCTTTTGTTGTATTGTTTCAAATTGAAATCAACTTGAATATGCTTCTATCACAAATTTTGAAGCCCCAAACTAATATTCAACCCAAAATGATTTGCTCTGTAGATAAGAGTCCTTATACTCCCTCTTTACTTCTATTGGCTCTCATAGAAGCTCTGAGACATATTGCACCTTAGTTTGAATGCAGGGAATTTAGGGAATCAATCCTTGGAGTTATGCCACATCATTGGGTGAGTACATGAGATATCCTTTGTTTATGCATTTAATTCATAAGATGCTTCATGATGGGAATGGTTCATACTATGTTTGTATTTATATCAGGAGAGGAGAGAAGATACTAAATTGAAGTTGGCGCACTTCAGGCGTCACAAAAGAAAAACTTTGAAAAAAGTTCCAGGAAAGACTACAAACTATCCTTTTCACAAGCCTGAGGAGCATCATCCTCCTGGGAAGGACTCGACCAAAAAAATTTCTAACATCATTGGAAAAGCTGCAAATTATGCTGGCTCAGCAAAATCTAAGAAGGTATGGCCTGTTGTTTATCATGTCTATATGCAGTTTAGATATAGTTGAAACTTGCTACAGTTAGTTAACTTGAAGTTATATGCTGGATGTTCTGTGCAGGTTACCTTTGATATATGGCCTTTGCTTAAAAAATTGTTTATAACTGTTTATAAGAATAAATAGTTCTCTTTCTAAGTAACCACCTTTTTCATTTGACCTCCATGATTTCATTTATTGGCAACTTTACCAGTCAGTATCTCTTCGTATAGTAAAATCATATGGATACCATAATACTGACAAATTGCAATGCTTTGAAGTTTGTTCATGCTTTGGTCGACATGCGAAGTTTTATGGTGTTAGCATATAAAAGAAGACACAAGATCAAAACAAAGAAGTGAATTGGTTTTCGGTTATTCTATCATTGTCCAATTACTCAGACATATAATTCATTGATTATGTAGTCATGTGCCTCTAAACCTTTATGCCCATCACATTTGCTAATGCTTATAATTGTTTGAGCATCTAAGCAGTTATGTAATCAAATACTTTTCCACTTTTCACTACCTTTTGAGTCTTTCCAAGTATTTGCAAACCTGATGTCACCTTGCAAATACATGAACCTGTTCCATTATAAATTTTTTTGCCTGTTCACTCATAAATCCTTTATATGCTACTGAATTAGTCACACCTTTGTATTTCATTCTGCTTTTTCAATTGAAATGGAATTTTAAAAATTAAATTTTGGTTTTAACCTTTTCATTCTGAGTTTGAGACTTGGTCTGAAAAGTTGGTCATTTGAGGAACACAATCCATTCCATAAAAAAGGAGTGACTTGAATATTGTTTGTTAAATTTTAAGTTTGGTAGGTTGAGTATTTCCTTGAGCAGAAATTGCTTGTAATGTAGAACTGGTTAGATGTGGTGGGCCAGTTCTATCTATTACTTGCTAGGAAAAGAATATAAAAGATAGGGAGAAAAAAACAGATTGATGCTTGTAAACCACACTAACAAGTTTGCTGTGTGTGTGTGTGTGTGTGTGTGTGTGTTTGGTGGGCCAGTTTCTATCTATTACTTGCTAGGAAAAGGGGGAATTAAAAGATAGGGGGAGAAAAACAGAATTGATTGCTGTAAACCACCACTAAAACAATTGCTGTTGTTTGTGTGTGTGTGTGTGTGTGTGTGTTGGGGGGGGGGGGGGGGGTCACGTGTAGCAGTATCCACACGAAAATTTCCTTTGGGATTTATCTTATAAATGTTATACTCTTCTCATAACCCACTTCACTTTGTTCATGCAGTCATTACCTTATATTCCAACCATAACAAACTACACTCAGCTTTGGTGGGTTCCTAATGTTGTCGTGGCTCATCAAAAAGAAGGGATAGAAGCTGTTCATTTGGCATCTGGGCGCACACTTTGTAAGGTAGATAGTAAAGGCCATAACATTGTTCCAAGAAGAGTGTTTTATAACATACTAGTGAATTAGTAAATATGCAGCTGCCAAGGAAGTTACTTTTCTAGCTGCCAAACCTAATATCATAATTTAATAGTATTAAACAGTGAGAATGGCCAGCCTTTTTTATTTTATGCTTGCCTGTTTATGGACAAATGAAATCTGTGTGTGCTCCATCAATAATATCATTATAGCCACCAATAAATTTGTCATGTTTTTTTTTATATATTTATTGTGTCTAACAAGTCCAATGGAAATTCATCAATTTCATCAGCTTCATCTGCAAGAAGGTGGCCTTCATGCTGATATTAATGGGGATGGTGTCCTAGATCATGTCCAGGTGTGTGTTTGTTTCTTCTCTCTCTCCAATTTGATGTGTATCTCAATTCTTGTAATAAGAACTATATCGGTGACTGTTGGAGTTATTGTTCATTGAGCTCTATCTACATCTCAATTTTGCTGGTTTGATCAAAATATTGCAGTTTATTTCCTTTCAATCATATGTTGCATAGTGCCAGTGTGTGTTGCACGGACACGCGAGAGGCTTGACATTTCCGCATTTTGGAAACAGAAACACCAGGAAACAGCTCGGACACATGTCGGGTCGGTTTCCATAAATACTGAAAATCGGACACCCTTTTCCCCTCCCCAGAAACGTTTTTTGCATCAAAGAAAAAAATCAGATTTCAAATCCAAATTAAATTTGGATGATTTGCAAATCCTATTTGGGAAAGGACAAATAATGCTACTTTTAATTTCAATATTCAAACTTCAAATTTAATAGAATTTCATTATCTTTTTCCATTTTAACATTTGAATATTTTGTTTTCTTTTTTCTTTTGTTGAGTATGGAATTTATAAACATCTTTTTCTCTCTTTTGGATATGATTTATAAAATTATAATGATTTATTTTCAGTTATAGTTAGAAAACTTTAACTGTGGCTGATTGTCCTTTAAAAATTATAAGCTTACTCTTTCTAAATTATTTTTATATTTATTCCTATATTTTTAAATTTTATAAATAAACCCCTATATTTTTTATATTTATGCGTTTCCCCCACGTTTCTGTTTCTTATATTTTTGAAAATGCCGTTTCCCCGTGTCCGTTTCCGTGTCCATGCATCATAGGTGCCAGTATTCCATATCTCCTTTGCTAAGGTCTACTCATACGACTGCAGATACATTTATGTGGTCCTTTATTGATAGTTTCAAGACTAACAAGCATCACAATAGTTGAATTGATGGGTTCTGTGGTCCTAGAGTTATATATCCATTGTTAATCTGCAAATTTTATGTTTAACTTTCTCTTTTCCATGCACTTCTATTTTTACAGAAATTTATTTCTTAAAGACATTGTCGTAATGCATGATTTAGTTATGACAGTAACCCAGGTCCACGGTTAAATCAAGTTGAATATACTAATATTAATACATTGCCTTTCATTATTTATACTTTACATCCTTTCTATAGACCAGTTATAAAATAATGCTGGAGAAAGACAATTTTATTACTAGAAAAAGTTGGCTAGATATGGGTGCTAAAGTGGCACAGTATCATGATTCTTTCTCTTCAGGCTGTTGGGGGAAATGGAGCTGAGCAGACTGTCGTTAGTGGATCAATGGAAGTGCTGCGACCCTGTTGGGCAGTTGCGACCTCTGGTGTACCAGTTCGAGAACAACTCTTTAATGCTTCAATATGTCATCATTCCCCATTTAACTTATTCCAACATGGAGAGTTCTCTAGGAATTTTGGTCGAGCATCTGACGTCTCTTCATTGGAGGTAGCAACACCTATTCTCATCCCAAGAAGTGATGGCCATAGGCATCGCAAGGGAAGTCATGGCGATGTCATCTTCTTGACAAATCGCGGGGAGGTATGCTGTGGCCTGACTCTAATTTCTTGTAGCTACATCCTTATCTGGTGAAGAAATTGTTTTGATTCAGTAGTTTAGAATTAAATTTTAAATGATTATTTGATTACACTTAATCTACATTCATTGAGCTAAAATTCACTTAAAAAATGATAGTCAAAAATTAAAATTTGCATTGAATAGATTTAGTCATTGGACTTTTGAACAACTTTGGAATTTCTAATATTCAGTGCTTAAATTTTTTGCGTGCACTTTCAGTTAACACCACCTTAGCCATACCAGTGGTAAATCGGAGCCTATGTGGTGTACATAAATTATTTACTAGGTTGAATTATTAGCTTTAAGACAAATATTTCTGACGTATTGGTGAGTCACAAATGAACCACATCTTTCAGGTAACATCATACTCTCCTGGCTTGCATGGCCATGATGCAATCTGGCAATGGCAACTGTTGACAGATGCGACTTGGACAAATCTTCCATCTCCATCAGGGATGATGGAAGGTGGCACAGTTGTCCCGACACTGAAAGCATTCACTTTACGACTTCATGACAATCAACAAATGATTCTTGCAGCAGGAGATCAGGAGGCAGTAGTTATATCTCCAAGAGGAAGCATACAAACAACAATTGATCTTCCAGCACCACCCACCCATGCCCTAATCTGCGAAGACTTCTCAAATGATGGACTTACTGACATTATCGTTGTGACATCGAACGGAGTGTATGGTTTTGTACAGACACGAACACCAGGTGCCCTCTTCTTCAGTACACTAGTTGGTTGCCTTTTGATTGTGATGGGAGTCATCTTTGTCACCCAACACTTGAACTCAATGAAGGGCAAACCACGGGCTTCATCTGGTTCTCGGTGAAGACAGCAATTTATACTTCAAATCTTTGTTCAAAACTAATGATGGCAGCCCCTGAACAAAAACGAGGCATCAAAATGGTTTTATGGGAAACCGATATAAAGTATGAACTGCAGAGCACGCATCAGAGAGAAGAATTTTGATCTGATGGTCTTGCCTGGTTTAATCTTACTGTGAAATTTATAGAATTAACATTATGGAGGACTGCAGTTAGCTCAGTGTGGTTTTTAGAAAATCTTGAATTAACTTGTAGTGCAAGAGTTTTGTTTTTTCCTTTTTGTAGCTTCATTGTTAAAAAATTACGGAAAATTTACCATCTAAGAAGTCAGAAGTTATGCCTTGTTATATTAACTGTGTTGGGAGAGTCTTTTTTACTGTAGAGAGTTTGGTAAAATGTTGGCTCTAAGGGATATTGCTGCATGGTCCAGGCTGTATATTATTTAGGAGACTTCTCTAAGAACACATTTGTCAAAAATTCTGCATCTCAGACGCTCTTTTGAGGCACAAAACTATTATATTCTTTTTTCTTTAAGGTCAATTTGAACTGATTTACAATTTCTTCGTTCCTTTCATTCAAAAATTATCAGGAGTAGAACTCTGAACTCGCTTTCATAAAATATTTCCATTGGCTGTTCTTTTGTAGAAAATTTGATAAAATTTGGGAATGGAGGAGGCTTCATAAAACTTATCTCCCGGACTTAAAATTTTTTTTTTCCAAATATTTACAAATTTCTATTTTATTTTTATAAGATAATTGTTTAAAAATTAAGAATTAATTGTTTAGGAAAAGAGTTTTTATTTATTGAAAAGGTAGATAATAATTATAAACTAAATGAAGTTGCAGTGATGAATTGTTAGGGTTAGGGTTGTCAGGTGAAAGGATAAGCAGAGCAGGACCATCCTTCACAAAAACCAAATAAAAAATAAAAAGGTTTTCTCCTCGTGATCTGATTCTGCGTGAAAGAATCCCAATTTGCCAGAAAAACGAACCATTTCTTATTATTAATTAAACTCACAAGAAAACCTCTGAGAAATTATGTTTTTATATCTACATGTCACGTTATATGATATAGAGCCTTTTTTTATTATTATTATTATTATTATTATTATATTTAATGAGAAAATAAACCGATCGAAATAACATTATGGACATTAGGAGTAATTTTCCTCTTTTAATTATCTGCACCAAATTAATTAATTATTTTAAACTAATCTTCGTTCTATTAAATAAATTTTCTTGAACATATAGCAATATTATTAAATATATTTGGTATTAAAAAAATGTGAAGAGGTGCAAGTAAAAGTGTGATGTGGGCATGTTTTACTAATTTGGGGTGTGCATCACTTTCACCATGCGCTGTGAGAATGGTATTTATGCTCTGTTTGTCTAATCCTGGCAATCTTTAAAATCATCAAAATTGCATTGGGACAATTCCCAATGCAATGCATTTGCATTAATAAAAATAAATTTAGAATAGAGTATAACTTACATTTATTATTATTATTATTATTATTATTTTCTCTTCTAGTTTAAATTTATAAATCAATAGATGAGCTATTGAATCAATGTTTTAGCATTTAAATATCTACTTCATAAAAAATTAAAAAATTTTATGTGCAAATTCTTTTTTTTTTTTTATCTCCAATGAGACAAAATTAATTTAAATTGTAATTTGGATTTATAGAATCTGAATGATAGAATTATGCTCACAACATTACTACTATTACTATCATCATTGTTATCTTTTTAATAACAGTTGATACTTATAATATAGTTGAGACATCTTAAAAAATCTTATAACTAATTTTTTTTTATATAATTTATCGGAAAAAATCAATTTATTTATTAATTAGTTATATAGTTCCTTGAAAAATGTCAATTTCATTTGAAATAATTTCATTTTTTTATTATTATATATACTACCTAACAAAATAACTTACTCAAGTTGAAGTTTTGACAAAGCTGAAAATTGGTAAGTTTATCTTTTCCAAATATCAAAATGCAACACTAAGAAATTATGTTTTTAAGAGTATTTTACATAAATAATTTAATATAAAGTGATAATAATGACAATAGATTTACATAAATAATTTATGAACCTTTTGACTTCAATAGATTGGCATAATGACAACCCAACTTAAACTATTGACAGGCAAGCTAGCTAGTTATAATTGACTAGTGTGGTCAACCACAAAATGACATTTTTGCAAGGTTAAATGAGTTTGTTAAAATTGACTTTATCACAAAATGTTAATAAACTTTGGATTTGGACTTAGTGATCTATTTAAAAAATCTAAATGAAAAGTGATTAATTAATTGATTTACTTTCAATTCAAAGCCCGTTAATGTAAATATCACCATAATTACTCCATAATTTCTGCCCCCTAAAGAAAATTAGGCACAAGATGAGCAAGTCAATGACTCTAATTCATTATTTGAGTCTTAATTCTTATTATTATTAGAGTGGGGACAGACTAAAAATGACCCGATAACCATTAAGGTGTTGGTTGAAGTGGTTAGCGATCTCAATCATTGTAAAGGTGAGAATACAAATTTGATTCCCGAAAAATGCACTTTATTGAGAGAGTTAAAAATCTATATGCTCTACGATCCAAGGAGATCAAATCTCTTGGTTATAAAAAAAAAAAAAAAAAAAAAAAGATTCCGCGAAAAATGCACTTTGATTGAGAGAGTTAAAAATCTATATGCTGCTACGATCCAGGAGAATCAAATCTTTTGTTATTAAAAAAAAAAAAAAAAAAAAAAAAAAAAAAAAAAAAAAAAAAAAAAAAATCCAATAACCACCAAATACACACAAAGAGACAATACTCCATGCTCATATATACAACTATCTAGAACAAAAATAAAATCACTTCAACTAGCTTGTTGAAGTGACCATTGATTGATTAAACTCATGAAACAAACTTTTCAAGGTTAACCAAAATAAGACAAAAATTTCCCAACCTATAAATATAAACAATATGTGAAACCTACAAAGAACCCAAAAAACAAAAATCATATTTGTCAAAATTCAAGTCATGGGTTTGAGCCTTAGATGTAGACAAGATAGTATTCTTTTGTTGACTACAGCCTCTAGTCCTTATATGTAAAAAGGACATGAAAGGAGAGAGAAAGAGAGAGAGAGAGAGAGAGAGAGAGCTTAATTGAAGGTCCAGAGGCTTTGATTTTCTCTTCTTAAGTACTTAACTTAATCACATCAATACAAGCACGTTTATACCAAACCGAAGAATTTTGATTCAAGAAATTGAGCAAGTCACTGGCTGTAATGCATTTTTGTGGTCAAAGCCTAACCCACCACACGAGTGGCAAAGTTTTAACTCTGTCTCTCTCACACACGCATGTACATAAGTCCCTTTCTTCATTAACCTCAAATTGCTTCTTGCAAATTAAAGTTATTATTGCATGCATTATTTATTTCAGTAGCTGCACCAAAATTTTAATTTTGTTTATACAAAGTCTTCATGATTTAATCCAAGGGTCATAATACATTTAAGAGTTCAAAACTCATATCATTCAATAAAACTCATATCATTCAATAGCATGATATGATCTGACATATCATTCAAGATATTCGGGATTTTTGAAAAGCAACTTTCTTTTAAGAGTTCAAAACTCATATCATTCAATAGCATGTTCATAAAGAGTATAAACCATTCGAAATCAGCATTTCAAACAGCTGCCCTTGCTGTTGTATGAACAGTTGATTTGTAAATTTCTTCGCAAAACCATAAGAAAAAGTTAAGAATATATTTTATCTTACAATTAATGATCATTAGTTGTTGGTAATTAAAAAAAAAAAAAAAATTAATGATCATTAGTTGTTGGTAATTAAAAAAAAAAAAAAAATTGATTTTTGAGTTATAATTTTGTAGAAGAACCAAATAAAATAAGAAGCACCAAATTTGATGAAGTAAATTCCTATAAAAAAAAGAATAGAAAGAAGCAGAAAAATATTTGGGTTGCAAAATGGTGTAAAGGAAAGGGAATAATATTCCAGTAGTCTTGTCTTCAATTATTCAAATCATGGAATCTGTCACTGGCTGCCAATTAGATCTTAACTGGACTCTAGTTGGGGTCATTTTCTTTCCCTTTCTTTTTTTTTTTTTTTTTTTAAAAAAAATTATTTTTTAAAACTGGAATTGGGTCATTTTCAGATTTAATATTTCAATGAGTTTCACACTTATTGACAATTTGAATAGGGTTTTTAATAAATTCTCTTCTCTCTCTCCTCTTCTTTTCATTATGATTTTGGAACAGAAATTCTTCCCCTTTATTTATTTATTCATTTATTTTTTTGCCCCATATTATTCTGATAGAAGACCTCTATGTTGTCATATTCATCAAATGCATTTTAATTATACATACATATATTTGTTTTTAGAATATTAAATTAAATGAGAGGAAAATTGAATATTTGTTCATAGACCATGTAATGCCCACACCTATTTTTAAAATATTTCTTCTCATAACTACTATTTTAGGTGCAAAATTATGGGCTTTGTTCTTGGAAATTCTGTTATCTTGATTTATTTGTGGAGTTTAATATTCTTTTAGCTAATTCAATTTGTTAAAGAGATTTTCGATCATCTAGCTAAGTTTCACTAGGTGGTCTCTCAAATTTAGAGTCTTCTTCCGTTCTGTTTCAAGTTTTTATTTCTCATATCTTTCGCGAAGCTAACTCATGCGCCGACTTTCTTTTCAAATTTACTTCATTAATTTCTTTAGGATTTCAAGTTTTTTATAACTCTTCTTATAGTGTTTTGCCTGTTATGGCTCATGATATATGTGGCATAGCTTATGCCTGTTTTTGTAATAGTTAGTGTTTTTTTTATTTCTTTATTCCTACCAAAAAAAAAAAAAAAAAAAAATTATGCCAAAAAAAAAAAGGAAAATAATGCCAAAAAGAAAAAAAAAAAAAAAAAAAGAAAATTATGCCAAAAAGAAGAAACTTAATGATATTCTTTGTTTGGAAACCAATATGAGAACGTTGAAAAATGAAAAAGAAGAAAGAATAATTAATTTCAAAGAAGCTATGGTATATGCATTAATATGAATGGAAGTTTTAATTTGATCCTTATTTTTTTAGATGAAAGGAATGGTTTTCAAACATGAAAATACATTATTATTAATAATAAATTATAAAAAGCATACATTTTGCAATTTGATCTAATTTGAAAAATTCATGATCTTTATAAACAGAATTCCGATATATGTTTACCCATGAAAAATATTATTAAGAATTCTCAATTTTGAATTATAATTAAAGCTATTTTTTTTCTTTAAAAAAAAAAAAAAGGAAAATGCAATATTCATGGAATCTTGGTAATATCTTTTAAATTAGAAAGTCATACGATACAATAGAGAATGGGGGACCAAAACCCTAAATTCTAAAGGGCCCCACATTAACAAAATTTCAAGATAAAACGAGGAATAGTGGGCCAATACATGGTCCAAAAGTACCATAAAATGTGGATTTCCTTAT